TATTGTCTTATAATGAGAAAAAGGTCTATTAAGAAGTTAAAAAAGAGTTTAAAAATTAACAAAGTTAGATAATACAATGATAAAAAAGTGATATATTCAGATACTTGTTCGCAGTAACACTAAACAGTTTTATAAACTTTTATGAAATACTGAAATGAGTTGCAATTGACTTGTTGGTGCATTATGACAATAACAACAGTTACAAACTGATACTAATACTGAAAATTCTTGACTGTTGAATCAAAACTGACTCATAAGTGACACTAGTAAATGTCATCGTCTATAAATTGTGTGAAAGTAGATTGCCCATCTTTCTCTCATGTTACCTCTAGTAGATTTGAACAGCCAAAGAGGATATTCCTCTTTTCTAACCATACCTTGACTAACCATACCTCACTTTAGGTTAAAAAAAATCCTTTGAATTAGCAATAGAGCACAACATCCTACAGACTATACCATTAGAGTTCACTTTAAATTTACAGGGAAAGATAATATTTAACAGAAATTATTTTTATCAGTATTATTTCTATAGAGATTTCGTGATTAGTATCCTTTTCCTTTGTGCTGATACATTCACTCTGACTAATAAGGGTCAAAATAAATCTATCTATAAAGTTAAAAAAAAAGAATTAATGGTGCTGAGAATCACTTTGCCTCTCTGCCTGCTAACTCTCCCCAACCTCCCCTCCTCAACCCCCCATGTTTAGCACTTTCTGCTTTGGGCTTCCATCTAATATGCCCATCTCTGGCCTTCTCCTGAGTATTTCGGTTTGCCTCGACCCTTAAGTTGTCTGACCTAGCTGGCCCAAAGACAGAAATACTCTTACTTGATATATTTATTGATGAACATTTTAATTTTTAGTCTTTATAAAAAAACCAAAAGAACACATTAGAATTCTAGAAATACTGGCCCACATGGACTATATGAGGTTGTGCTCACTGTGTGCATCCAGTTAAACAGATATTCAAACTAGAAGTTAATCACATTAGGAGCAAAAATAGAACGTAGAACTTCAAATCACTGGAGGAAGAAAGGCAGAAATAAGAATGTAGACAAACGACGTGGAGATAAGAAAAAGGGGGCGGGGAAGGAGCAAAGGAAAAGGTGGGAAGAAAAAATGCCATAAAATAAGATGTTGTTATTGTTATATGCTGTCGAGTTGCCTGCGACTCATAGCAACCATATGAACAATAGCTCTGAACCCTGACCTATCCTGAGCCAATCTCACTGTTTCTGACACAACTGCCCCTATAATCCCAGTCACTGTGTCAATGAGAGAAGTGTAAATAGATTAAGATTTTCTCAACCTTGGCACTATTGACTATTGACAGTTTGGACCAAGTAGTTATTTGATGGAGGCGGCTTCCAAAGCATTGTAGGATAATCACTAGCATTCTCAGCGCTATCCGCTGTTGCTATTATCTCTTCTCAGTGTGTGACAATCAAAACTGCTTCAGATATTTCCAAATGTCCTTGAGGGAACAAAACGTCCTCTAGCAGAAAAACACAGAAATGTACCAGTCATCACAAGAAATACAATAGAGCCAAAACCTACCTGTTAAAAAAGAGAGACTGACTGCTTAAAACAACAACACAATCACAGTAATGATACATAAAAATATTATGACATCAAATGTAGAAATAATGCAGAAATAGATGGGGTGATGCTAATTACTTAATAGAAAGATATTAGTATCAGAAATGACATCCTACAGCAAAAAGCCTTTTCAGAGTTATTGTTGTTATGTGCTGATGAGTTGGGATCAACTCATAGCTGACCTTCTAGTGGGTTTTCAGAGGCTGCAAATCCCATGGGAGGAGACTGCCTATCGCTTCCCCATGGAGCAGTTGGTGGATTTGAACCTCTTGCCTTTGGATTGGTAGCACAACTAGAGACAGAAATATTATTTAGTAATAAAAAGGATAACTTACCAGGAAGACAATAATCCTAAATTTCTCTGCACACACATCCAGTGTCATAAAATAGGAAAGGGGAAAATGGGAAAATGCAAAGCTATAAAGAGGAATGGCATACCAACTATAGTACATCTCTGAGTGGCACATTTCTGAAACCATGACAACACAAATACACAAAACATCAGTAAAAAATGGTACAAGGAGCAAGTTTGAGCTATTTTGTATATTTCGTGCACCCATGAGTATAATTTTTATAATATAATTAAATTATGAACAGTAAAAAAAGGTTCTTAAAATACATGTTTAGAGCTGAAAGGGCTACTTAAAGTTTGTAAGGGAGAATTAATTCAGAATGTTATAAGTCAGAGTAGTATTTACCTGCAGAGAAGAAAGAAGAGTCAGTGGGAAGGGCACAAGGAGATTTTGAGATGTTACCTCTTGTCTGTTGTTATTGTGTACCTTCAAGTCAAAACTGACCCATACCTATCCATCCAGCAGGTTTTCAGAAACAGTAAATCACACAGGAGGAAACTGTCCATCCTTCTCCTGCAGAACAGCTAGTGGATTTGAACCATGTATCTTTGAGATTGCAGCATGGTTTCTTACCTCTAGACCACCAGATCTAACTAGATCTCTTGTCTCTGTTTGTTTATTTTGTGTGTGTGTGTTTTTCACTTTCGTAGAGAAATAGAAATACCATTTGACCCAGCAATTTCATTACTGGGAATATACCCTAAAGAAAACACAGGTACTACCCAAACAGATATATATACACACCCATGTTTATTGCTGCATTATTCACAATAGCAAAGAGATGGAAACAACTCAAGTGCCCATCAACAAATGAATGGATAAATAAACAATGGTATATTCACACAATGGAATGCTGTGTAGCACTGAAAAAGAAGGAACTCACAAAATATTGCACAATATGGGTGACCCCAGAGGACATGCTGAGTGAAATATCTCAGTTACAACAGGACAAATACTGCATAACCCCATTGTTATAAAATAGGAATGATATGGAGTTGGGGGAAAACTAAGAAAAGAGGGAATAAATAACGAATACTGCTTTGGAACAGATGAAGGAAAGAACTGTTGAGAAGGAATATTTGATTAGGCATTATTTGTATGACAACTATCTAGAATAAGAGGTGCATTGCAAAGTGGACTTGAGAATGGGTGGAAGAGGGAGGGAGGAAAGTAGGCAACAATGAATGAATGAAAATCTAACTTTTCTATAAACTTTCATTAAAATCACACACAAGAAAATTTAGGTAGGTGTTACTTAAGCAAATTAATATTTTGATAATTAGTAAAAGCATACAGTTTTAGGAAGTACTGTGCTTAAAGCACTTAGCTGCTAACAAACGGTTGGCAGTTCAACCTATACCAACTGCTCCCCAGAAGAGAGATATAGGGAGCTGCTTTTATAAAGATGTACAGGTCTGGGAATCCCACAGAGAGTTCTACTCTGTCTTACCTATTCTGTCACGATGACTTGGGATTGAGTTCAATGACAGCAGAGGATCTGGATATAATTTTAATTTGTGCATGTTTATGTATGTATGTATGTTATCTATAAAATTATTAAAGAAGATAATATGTGAAGTAATACCTAGAGGTAGGTACATTTTAAAATCTTAAAACAAATATTATTATGTGTGTGAATTACTGAAACTTCATGGATAAAGCAGTTAAGAATCAGAAAACATTGTCAGTAATGAAGACATTTCCTATGAAAAATGTTGGTATAGAAGGAAAGATATGTTTAAAAGTTAGGATTCCAAGGCCCGTTTATGACCCCTTGCAGTAAAATTTTTTTTTCATGTTACCGATGCGTATTGAAACTGGATGTAACAACAGATAACGTGTAATTCCAGCAAAAACTGGAAACGATTCTTCCAGGTCACAGCACGCAAACCACATGGCAGGAAGGAGCCAGGGGACATCAGGCTTGGGTGGGTATTCCTAGGAAAAGACATAAAGCACTTATGATTCACAAGCACTTTCAAGAAATAGACTTTCACTGAATCTAAGTGGAAACTCAATCTCTAAAAAAAAAAAACATACGAAAAACTCATTTTAAAATTTTCAAATCACTAATGAACCAAACCAAACCATTGCCGTTACATCTATTCTGATTCCTAGCCACTCTCTAGTATAGAGTAGGACAGCCCTCTAGGGTTGCTGAGGTGTTTTTTTTTTTTAAATTTAGGTTGTTTATTTTTCATTTCAATGAACATCTACAGAGATTTTGGGATTCCATTCATTTATTGTTGCACCCTTCT